GCAGAGCCCAAGGCAGGGCTCAATCTCACCACCCTGAGATCATGACCTGAGCTGAAACCAAGAGTCAGACACTCAACTGACTGAGCCACCTAGGCACCCCAATAAAAAAGTTCTCTTGTGCTCATTCAGACTTCTAGGCTCAAAGTCCCCTCCAGGTGCCATTCTCGCTATATCCATCAGGGTTTCTAGACACAAATGCAACTGGTTATTTTGAGCAGAAAGGAAATTTATTTTTTAAGAATTTGGGTAGTTCACAGGATCACCAGAAGGACTAGAAAATAAGACTAGGAGAATGGCTGGGAACAAGGAGGCAGCAAAGTAGGGGCCACAGTTAATAGAACACTGAACACTTGTTATCATCTTGCCCCATCAATGCCATCACCATCATCCCTGCCACTACTGCTCCCAGAAACAGGATGAGGTTGTCTGTTGCCACTGTTGCCATCAGAATAAATTCCCCATTGGCCTTGCTTCTTTTCTTACTAGCTCCCAGTTCAATGTCTGTTCAATGTGGGAGTGTCTGATTGAGCCCAAGACAAGTGCCTACCTCCTAGCTGCAAGAGAGGCTGGGAGAGTGCTTATGCTACTAATTACCAACTGTGTCTCAGCTGCAAGTCCATCCTTTCATACTCTTCCCTGTGATGCTTCCAGTGGGACACTGCAAACTAAATTTTCCCTCGTTCTTTTGTCAGTTGCTTCCAGCAGTTCCAGTTAGACTCTGCATGGGAGACACTGAGAAGAAATTGACAGGTGAAATGAGGGGAGAAGGGGTTTCCTTCCTGTGTCTGGCTCTGGTCAGCATGTCTCCAGCGGCAAAACACAGTTATACTTCTATCCTCTGGATCCTTTTGGCACTTTTCAAGCCACATGCATTACACTTCCTCAGATACTAGCACCAGATGGCTGCATCTCCCAACTCAGTGGACCTAGCACCATTTGAGCCAGGTTCCCCTCAGAGGTCAGAACACCAGTCACTGCATTTTAGAAGACTGAGTGCCAACCAGATGGCCCCCACCTCTCTGTCCTGCCAGAGGTATGAGCACCAGCTGTGCCTGGGCCCCCTCTATGAACTCCTAGGTCTGCAAACCCCAAAGATTTTATTCTCTCAAATCTAGGAGTGTTGGATATATCCCCCACCCCCACCAATACTCATATAACCGATTTTCAGTATTAAATCCTCTCTGTTTGAAATACTGATTGTAGTTTCTGTGTCCTTTACTGAATCTTGACTGATAGAGTCTGGCTTTTTCAGCTTTTGCAGTGGAAAGCTGGTTTTACCTTATATCAAGACTCCTGGGGCACCTGGGTGGCTCAGTTGGTTAAGCATCTGCCTTCGTCTCAGTTCATGATCCCAGGGTCCTGGGATTGAGCTCCATGTCAGGCTCCCTGCTCAGCGAGGAGTCTGCTTCTCCCTCTCCCTCTGCCCCTCCCCCTGCTTGTGCTCTCTCTGTCCCTCTCTGTCTCTCTCTCAAATAAATAAATAAATAAATAAAATCTTAAAAAAAAGACTCCTGGTAGAGACTTCTTCAACTGTTAGAATGGAATTAAGATGCTGAATATTGTCAAACCAACTGACAAATAGCCATTATATCCATCTTGATTTCCAACTAGGCTGTATATCTGACAACACCTTGCTACCCTTCAAACCTGGATTTTAGCTCCAATTTTGCTGTTGATTTGCTATGTGATCTTGGAGGAGTCTATTTCCTACTAGAAGCTTCCATTTGTACATGGGTTAAAAAAAAAAAAAAGGAGGGAGACTGGGTCTGTGGAACTCAACATTCCCCTAGTTTCAAAACCATCTCCAGCTTCCTCTAGGCATTTCTGGATCTGGAGAGAGCTTCAAGGGGAGAATAAGGAGAGGGAAGATGAGGAGTCCTGGACCTGCGTGAGCAACCATGAGTAACATTTGAAGATTCCACTTGAGGTGTCCTCTGGGTTCTAATGGGCAGAGTAATGACCAAACAGTTAACAAAGAAGCACAGATCTCCCACTGAGGTCCTCGTAAGGCAGAGGGTTCCCTGTGCCCAGCCCCTAGGGCTGAGTTCACTCCTGAGGACAGCAGGTAAGCAGACTTTATAAACCGCAAGGCACATTTTGGCCATTTCCAAAGACCACTCTGATCCATGGGCCTTCTAGTGCAGAATGATTTTGTTCCAGTCATTCATGTATGTCAACATTAATCAAGGACTGAGAGGCACTAATGGGACAGACAAACATCAGGTGCTTATTAGATTTGGCTGGGTTCCTGAGCTGCCATTGTTCCTCAAATTGAGAAGTGCTCTTTGACATTATTAATCCATCACCTTCATCTTATGGATAGGAGACTGAGGTCCTGAGAGAAGCATCCCTCCACCCTACCCTGTGCCAATTAGCTCACACTTCAACTAGGGGCAAAGTTGGGATTTGTATTTGGATATTTTTATTCCCAGATAAGTGCTCCTCCCATTTCCTTCTTCACACAGGATGCAGACCAGTGATGACTTGTTGCAAATTTGGTCTGGATCATAAAGATGCACAAAGACAGTCTTCCTGGGAGAACAGACTAACTCTCACAGATGTGTGGAGGCAGGAGCCATGTAAATGAAGGAGATGCAAACGTGGGGGCCACTTGGCTAGATGGTCACTCTGCAAAACTGCCAGACTAGCAGGACTTTGGGGTCTTCTGCACAACCTTTCCCTGATCATCCCCACATTTAATGATTCTAACATTTTCTCCTGATCTCCTTCTATACAAGGAGAAGACACGAATAGACTCCTTAAGCCTTTATTATTTTTTTCCCCACTGATGGCTTGGCCCTTAAATATCATCCAATCCACAGGTTCTGAAACTTTAAAATCACTTGGCTGTACTTGCTAAAAAATGCATATTTATGGGATCTGGAGGACCCATCTTTTATTTTTATTTTGTTGTTGTTTAGTTTTTATTTCATAATCATATTAATTACGCTATCCAACTAGACTTGGAGGGGAGTAAGGAAAACATGGAAACCATAGAACTGCAGTGAGAGCACAAAGCTTATGGGATATTTCAAGCAGGTGGGGGTGAGGGGGTGCTCTCCTGAGCTACAGAAGGAATGGTCTGGTAGTTAAGATAAAACACAAGTCAAATTTATTAGATTTGTCCACAGTCAGCAATGGTGACCTTCTTGCTGGTCTTCCCATTCCTGGACCCAAAGTGCTCCATGGCTTCCACAATATTCATGCCTTCTTTGACCTTGCTAAAGACCACATGCTTGCCATCCAACCACTCAGTCTTGGCAAGTACAGATGAAAAACTGGGAACTGTTTGTGTTGGGTCCACCATTTGCCATGGACAAGATGCCAGGACCCATGTGCTTCAAGGTGAAATTTTCATCATCAAATTTCTCCCCATAGATGGACTGGCCACCAGTGCCATTATGGCAACCGACGTCACCACCTTAGCACATAAATCCTGGAATAATTCTATGAGAGCAGGAACCTTTATAACCAAATCCTTTCTCCTCTGTGCTCAGAGCACTAAAGTTCTCTGTTGTCTTTGGAACTTTGCCTGCAAACAGCTGGAAGGAGACCCAAACCAAGGGCTCGCCATCCATAGCCATGTTGAAAAACATGGTGGGGTCGACTGTAGCTGGGTGGGGCAGGCCGCTCTGGGGCAGCAGCATCTGCAGTTCCTTGAGGACCTGTATTTTAGATAGCCCCTCCCCACCCCAACTAATTATAATGGAGGTGTTTGCTAACAGCATTTTCAGAAATACTCATCAGTTTAACCTACCCTTTTTAAAGAGAGAGACATGGAGAGGAAAGGACTTATTCAACAGTAAGTGGATCCCAACCCTTGTTAGAGCCTCTTGATTCAAGTTATACCAGACAATGAACTCATTTAAAAAATACATCCAGGTTTTGGTGTGCTGTGGTGGCCAAGCCTCCTGCTGTGGGGCCCCCTCTTTAAGCTTGGCACCTTCTGATCCTGCCCATTCCTTTGGGGGACCTTCCCCAAAAGTCTTCCTTCCCCTTGACTTCTCTGTGCCTTTCCTCTCCTCTATCCCTCCCCTCCTTGCCTCTCCTCTTCCTTTCACTTCCTTCCCATCTGTTCCAATTTCCTACCTATTGCTGTGAATAAAATTTCCCAGAATATTTTCTATTTCTCACCATTTTGTGGCTGAGCAATTTGGGAGGGAATGAACTCGGTGGTTCTCTCCTAGAGTCTTCACTCGGTTGTAGTCAGATGTCTGCTGGGGCCACAGTCATCTGAAGCTCTGCTGGGTTAGAAGCTCATTCTCATGGCTGGGAACTGACACTGGCTCTCAGGTAGATCGTGTCTGGGGCTGTCAACCAGAGCACATGCTTGGGACTCCCCAGCATGGTGGTCTCAGTGTAACTGGACCTCTTCCATGGCAGCTGCCTCACACCCCCCCCCCAAACAAGCATCCTAAGAGGATGGAGCACACTTTTTCTGGCCTAACCTTGGAGGTCACACAGCATCATCTGGCTTTACTCTACTAGTCAAAGTTTGCCGAGATTCAAAGGGAGGGGCCATGGACTCCATGGACTCTACCTCTAGACTGAAGTGAGTGAAAGAATTGTAGGTCCCTGCTTTAAAACTGTGCCGTCATTTAGTATCTTTTCCTCCTCCATCCTTCCCTCTTCTCCCTTCCTCTACATCTCTTCTTTGCTGCCCCATCTCCTCCTTTCATGTCTCTCCCCAGTTAGCTTCTATTTTGTAGTGTCTGTGCTGGACTCTGGAAGTGTATCCTTTATTGAAAGCTCAGGAAACAAGCCCACAGCCTTTTTGGAGATGGATCGCCCATCAAGTTAATGGAGCTCAAGCCTCATGGTCCCTCACTTGAGCAAACATGGTTCCATTCTAAGCATTTCATGACAATTTTACCAGGGCCACAGCATCATCAGAGTTCCCAAATTGCAGGATTTCCATACTTTTCTCTTTCTTTTGGTGTCACTGGAAGACCCAACAATTTCTTGTTCTGCAAACACTGCACAGAGGGAGTAGATGTGAATTATTCATTCTCAGAAATATCAGACCTACAGAACACTTTATTAGGGAAACTGGAGGCTTCTGAAGCATACACAGGTGCTGTAAGAGGGAAGAGATAGGATCAGACAATGAGAAGGGGTTAAAGGGTGAAGGGCATTGTGTTTGAAGAGAAGCCGGGCTGGAGGAAAGAGAGTAAGCAAATCCTGGGGTTTGGTTTTTGGAACAGTCAATGTCCTGGCAGCTGAGATTTGGCCAGAGGAAGCCGATATGAAGCATCAGTCAGGCACACATGGAGAGAGCCCTGAATTATGAGCCAAATTCTGGAGGTTGTTCCAGTTCCTTTTATCCTACTGAGGGAGATGGTGACTCTGCAAGATAGCAGAACAGAAAAGGATGAGATGCTTGGGCCCTACTCATCTCAGGAACCAAATCTTGTAGTTAATGGAACAAAGGAGCTGGGGTCATTTTTATATCTTTTCACAGGAAGAGAAACCAGAAGTGGAGTGATTTGGGGCCATAGGGTGCTCGTGTGCTCTGGTTTCTCCAGTCAAGTGCCAGTTTAAACCTGTTGTCCCAATGTAATAATTAATGGCATTCCCCTTTCACTCTCAAAAGTTTCTTAGTTTGATCAATAAAGCATGTGGTTGTCCTGGTTCTAATCACCTTAAAAAGGAAAATGAAGAGATTGGGTGATGGGTGCCCAGCCCTGGGCTGGTTCACTGGGCCTTCTTCTGACCTCATCTTGGATACTCCACCCCTCTGCTTCCTCGTTCTGCACCCCCTATTCATCTCATACTTGCTGATTTCCCTTTGACTATTGCTCTTCCTCCCACCTTCTCTTTCCCAAAGCATCCCCTATTTACCCCTCTGCGAGGACTGGTTCTATCGACCCCAGGCCTGCTAACTTCCTGGAATGGGCCAATCAACACCCAGACCTCCCACCTGTACAGGTGAGCATGGGAGATGGGACCCCTGAGACTTACATATTTCCTGGCAGATGGCCCTGCAGACAGCTTTAGATTGGAAGTTGTTACTGTTCCCACTGCAACCACCATAGTCGAATCTAGAGCAGCTTTTGATTTCCTTATTGTACCACCAGCGTGGAATGCGGGCCAAGCAGAGGCCAATATCCATTGGCAAACTGCATATGTCTGCAAGGAGATGGCAGAGCTGTATTGCTTGGGTGCCTGCCTTGCTAGAGAATATTCCAGGTGTGTGCAAAAGCTTGGAAGAATGAAAGAGCATGATATTTTTAGAGCAGCATGAACTTGCTAAAAAATATTATGCTGTTACACTTATCTATGCTTCTGCACATGCCTGGAGAGTCCACTCCTCTCTTGCTTACTAGGTGTACTCCTATTCATTCCTCAAAACACTCCCACACATCAAGCTCTTCTATAATGTCTCTCCTGGCTCCATTCTTCACTGTTTGCTTTTCTTTATTGCTTTTCAATCTTGCCCACACATTGATCTCTTCCATGTAATCACTTGTTCATATTTTCTGACTCCTCCATCAGAAAGTGAGGTTTGCACATTACATCATCTTGGTACACCAGTTCCTAGCAGGTAATCTGGCACTGAGACATGCTTCAGGAATGTTCACAGTACAAAATCAAATATATCCTGAACTTTGAGAAATACTTGATGGGCAACTGTTTTGTGCATAGTACTATGAGGTACAAATAGAGTTGTTCAGAACCTCATAGTCTGAAGCACAACAACAACAGCATTTGTTAAAGTTCTTAGCACTTGATACATATTGACCTATAATCTGAGGAGGTAGGTCCTCTTCTTGTCTTCATTTTGTAGATGAGGAAACTGAAGTTAAGAGAGGCTAAGTAACTTCCCTAAGATCACAGAAGATGGCAAGGGATTTGAACGTAGATATTCCATTGCTCTCAGGATCAAGACCAGACGCCTTAATCTGGCCAGCAAGACCCTGCCTTGTCAGAACCTTGCCTACCTATCATGGCCTCACCATCCTAATATTTCTCTCTCTTACCACAAGCACACTCACTCTCTGGTCTCTGGACTTTCTAGGCCTGAGCCTGCTGTCTCCTCACACAGGGCCTTTGCACATGCTATTAGCTGTGCCCGGAAAGCTCTTCCCTCCGATTTTTGCCTACTTACTGCCCATCTTTCAGATCTTAAATCATAGATCTTTTTTCTTAGAAAAACCTTTCTTGCCTCCCCTGGCCTATATTGAGCAAGTGGGTCCCATCATGTGTGTAAGGGGCACCAGTAAATATTTGTTGAATGAATGAATGAATGAATGAATGGTCCTTGATGGTCCTCTTTAGAGTACAATTATATGGGCACAGAGGAAAGAGTGGAAGAGGTAAAAAATGGTTAGAGAAGGCATCGTGGATTTATATGACAGAGAAGCCTTGGGGGGTGGGGAAAGCCAAGAACTATAAATCATATACCTGTTTCTTATAGCTATCATATCACCTGACACCATGCTGGCATTTGATGGGACTTCAGTGGGAACTTGGCACCTCAGAGGATCACAGAAGAATAGCCAAGAAACCATGTGGTCTAATGCCTACATCTTTCTTACAGATGGGGAAACTAAAGCCCATAAAGCAAAACCTCTGTTACTCACATCATATACCTGAGCAGGGGCAAAAATGAAATAAGCCCCACCCCCGTCCAGCACTGCTAGGATTTGGGTCAAGTAGAAGATGCACCCAGATTCTTGGTCAGAGACCAGCCATCAGGGAACCAGGGGAGAGGTCCGACGCTGCCAGGGCAGATGGGCAGAGAGTGGGGGTCAGGAGGGAGGGCACTGGATAGTTCAGGGGGTTTGTGTGTTACCTTCATTGAGGTCTAAACATTTCTTTCCACAGTTAAAATTGCAACACTTCATCTTCCTGGGGCACGGTTTGTTCTTCGTGCACTGGTCGATTTCTCTGTAACTACATGGTACTCTGGTCCGGGGACACCTCTCTGAGGGAGGGAAAAAAAGGAAGAAGGAAGGCCAGAACCCTCCATTGCCAGGCCCAGGGCAACACTGCAGAGTTAGAGAAGACTTTTCTCTCTTCATTGTCCCCAGAAGGTAGTGACCTTTGGAGGACTCCGGATTTTCACAGCACTGGCCCCACTCCCAACCTCATAATGACTCCCCATCTAGTCCCTAAACACAGCCCTACTCCCACCCCCACCAACCATGAGGTTTCTGGAAGAAGGATGCTCTCCCCTAGAACTATTCTGGTCACTTGGCCTTCCTGCATTTGGATGTTCCCTGGGTGGGGGCGAGGGTGCTATAGAGCTCTTCTAGGTGACTGAGATCTCCATTTGTGGAGTCAGATGCCTGGGCTTTTGAATTCTGTGCCACCATTAGTATGGCAGGCACCATCTTTGGACCTTGATTCTTTCATTTGCCTAAAGAGTTGTTTGGAGGATTAGGTGACAAAACTTGGAAGCCATTGTCAGGTGGCCTGGGGCGTAATAATGATAACTAATATTAATGAGGTGCTTACTGTGGACTTGTTCTCTTCTCCTTAACCTTTGTGGCATTTCTATGGGTGAGTCCTATCAATATCCACATTTTATAAACAGAGGAATCTGGAGCACAGGGAGGTTATGTGAATTTCGCCAAGGTCACACAGTTACTAAGGAGAGGAGCCAGGATTTGAACCTGCAATGTATGGTCTCACTGCTGAGTGCTCAGTGTATTTTAGCTGCTACTTATGGGGGTCTTCATATCTCAGCATTCTGAGGGACTTCAAGAGACCATTCTTTACTCCACAGGCAAGGACCCTCTGGGGGTGTGGGTGTGGGGAGACTTTTGGGTGCTGCAACTGGAAGATTCAAAGTTGCTGAGGGTGGTGCTGGGGTGAGGGACCTTTCTTGCAGGAAAGGCCCATAAAGTCTCAGCACCTTTAGTCCATCTCATGAGCTCCAGGTCCAGGCACCTCCAGAAGGAGTCTGTCTCATAACGATAGTGGGGAGTCTGTTGCTAGAGACTCAGGTTCTTGCACTCACAGAAGGCATCTTACTAGATGGTAGGGGTCTGAGAGAAGGACTGTGAATATCTCCCTTTCTCCCACCTAGGACCCCAGGCTGAGTGGGGGAGGCGTTCCTCATCCATAGAGTTCTTTGTTCCTCCCTCCCAGCAACTTCCATGTCTCCACTGGGAGGACCTAGTCCCCAGTACTTACTGCCAAAGAACCCCTCAACCAGCTCAGGTTCCTGGACTCCCCCCAAGAGGATGAAGAGAGCCAGGACTGCCAGAAAACCCAAGAGCCCCATTTGAAGAGCTACTGGCCTGGCTGGTGGCACCAAAATTAGGAACTGCTCCTCAGTAGCTTCTGCTTCTGAGCTTTGGCTGCCCTGGCACAAGAGCCACATATCACTGAAGACAAGCCAGCCACACTCCCTCTGCTGGGGAACGGCAAGTCCCCGAGGCCATCAGTGGGAGTAGCTGACACCCACAGCACCGACCCTGGGGGAAAAAGGGCTCTTGACAGGAAGCTTCTACTTCTCAGCTCGCTGAGGCTCTCTGGCTCTCTGGTCAGCCAGGGAGAGGGGGCAAAACTTGTCTGGGACTTCTAGACTGCCTCGGAGAAGGGAATGTTCAATTTCAGCATCTTCCATTTTCCAGGGGAGTTTAGAGATCCAAGACTATCCCAGCTCTCTTCTTTCCAATCTTACACCTCTCCTGATATGTCTACTTGTCCGTCTGCTTGTTTTTCTCACACTGTTGATTTTCCTTCTCTCTGCGCCTCCTCCTTTAACTCTGTGCCTGCCTTTTTCTCTTTTCTTGGGAGTCTCCCTCTGGGTCTCTTCCTCCCTGCCCTTCATTTCCCTTCTGTCCTCCTTTTTCTTCTCTTTGGGCCACCCCTTTTCCTTAACCATCGTCAAAAAGTAAAGATGTTACCATGAGTAGCATGTGGTCTGGAGGAGACAGGTTGATCCCAGGTTGAACCAAATCTTCTGAGAGTGTGTGTCAGGATCATGGTGCTTTGAAAGCAGGAGAGGATGCCAGAGCTAACGGAGAGCCTCTATCATTGGGTGCAATTTGGAATGGGTGAAGCAGGAGGAAATACTAAATATCAGTTATGACCTGGGACAACCATGGGGCATGAAGATTCTTCCCCGAACTTTCCAACTTAAGGTGTGAAGTGTTAATAAGACATGTTCTTGGCTTGCCTCTGATTTCACCTGCAGCTGTGGGAGACAGTTCTAGTGCACATTTTTCCTAACCATTTTTAAAAATGAAGTGGAATTAACATCAGATAAGATTAACCATTTTTAAGTGGACAGAGCAGAGGCTTTTTTTTTTAATGTTATGTTACTCACCATACAGTACATCATTAGTTTTTGATGTAGTGATCCATGATTCATTGTTTGCATATAACACCCAGTGCTCCATGTGATACATGCCCTCCTTAATACCCATCACTGAGCTAACCCATCCTTCCAACCCCCTCCCCTCTAAAACCCTCAGTTTGATTCCCGGAGTCCATAGTCTCTCATGGTTCATCTCTCCCTCCGATTTTCCCCCCTTCATTTTTCCCTTCCTTCTCCTAATGTCCTCCATGCTGTTCCTTATGTTCCATAAATAAGTGAAACCATATGATAATTGGCTTTCTCTGCTTGACTTATTTCACTTAGCATCATCTCCTCCAGTCCCATCCATGTTGATGCAAAAGTTGGGTTATTCATCTTTTCTGATGGCTGAGTAACATTCCATTGTATATATGGACCGCATATTCTTTATCCATTTGTCTGTTGAAGGGCATCTCAGCTCTTTCTACACTTTCTATTGTGGACATTGCTGCTATGAACATTGGGGGGCATGTGGCCCTTCTTTTCGCTACATCTGTATCTTTGGAGTAAATGCCCAATAGTGCAATTGCTGGGTCATAAGGTAGCTCTATTTTTAACTTTTTGAGGAACCTGCACACTGTTTTCCAAAGTGACTGTACCAGCTTGCATTCCCAGCAACACTGTAAGAGGGTTCCCCTTTCTCCACAACCTCTCCAACATTTGTTGTTTCTTGCCTTGTCAATTTTTGCCATTCTAGTTGTAAGGTGGTATCTCAGTGTGGTTTTGATTTGAATTTCCCTGATGGCTAATGATGATGAACATTTTTTCATGTGCCTGGGAGAAGATATTTGCAAATGGCACTACAGATAAGGGCTGATATCCAAGATATCCAAGATCTATAAAGAACTTCTCAAACTCAACACCCAAAAAACAAATAATCAAGTCAAAAAATGAGCAGAAGACATGAACAGACACTTCTCCAGATCAGAGGCTTTTAAGTGCCTTCACAATGTTGTATAACCATCACCTTTATTAGTTCCACAATATTTTTATCACTCCGGAAGAAAATCTTAGGGGCACCTGGCTGGCTCAGTCAGAAGACCACGCAACTCTTGATCTCGGGAGCTCGAGCCCCACCTCTGGTGTAGAGATTACTTAAAGAAATAAAACTAAAAAAAAAAGGACAATCTCTACCTATTAGCAGTCACTATTTTCCCCAGCCTAATCCTGCCCCTGGCAACCAGTAACCTACTTTCTGTTTCTATGGATCTACCTATTCTGGATATGTCATATAAATGGAATCATATAGTATATGACCTTTCTTGTCTGGCTTTTTTTGCATCACCTAATGCTTTTGAGGTTCATCCACAGTGTATCTTGTGTTAGTTCTTTGCTTCTTGTTGTGGCCAGTGCACAGTGATAGCTTCCCACTTCAAGTGTCAGAGTCTCTACTTCTGTGCTGTGGGTTTTCTCTGGCTCCCTGACAGCTTGCTCAGCTTGTGTGGGGAATAATCTGGAGGAGCAAGGGGTTTCATAGGCCCAGGCAGCCAGGAGGGGATGGGAATTAATGAATAAACGCCTCAGCTGCCCCATCACTGGAGATGAATGTAGACATTTGGACACATGTTTTACAGGGTTCCTTAGAAGGTCCCAGGGGGAGTAAGCTGCAGTTTGCCCCCACGGTAACCATAATTATAATCATGATACACTCCTCTCTTGCCTGTATCACCTACCCCATCCCCACCTTGTGTGTATTGAGACATCTCCCAAATAAACTCCTCTACCCATGTCCTTGTCCTAGGATTGGTTTCTGGGGGATCCAAACTAAGGCAATGCCCATAGACCCTTGTCTTAAAAGGGTCTTACAATTTTTTGAAGAAACAGAGGAGGATAACAATGTCCCTGGAGCTCTCAACTCTCAAGGTTCTGACAGTTCTCACTCCCTTTAATGGTGTCACAAGAGCCTCAATGACCCTTTAGTCTCTGCAAAGTGTAATGTACCAACAGATATGAATTATTCAGCCACAGAGGCACAGGACTAAACAGAGTACTTTATTGGGGAAACCTGGGAGCTATGCAGGTATAGACAGGAGGCTCTAGACGTCGGACATAAAGGAAAGAAGCATAGAGATGGGATCAAAAGAGAATGATACCATGTGTGAAACGAGGCTGAGCTAGAGAAAGGGGAATGCAGATCCCAGGGCTCTGTTTGCGGAAGAGCTGAGCCCTTGGAATGTGGAGTGGAAGAGTGGACGCCAACGTGAAGCATCAGTCAGGTGCATGGACAGAGCCTTGGATCACGAGCCAATTCCTGGCGGCTGTTCAGGTGCATCCTGATGCACTGACAGTTAGGAGCCTGGTAGAATGTAAGACAGGACCCACTAAGCATCTTGGGCTCAGCTTATCTTCAGAGCGAGTCTTGAAATGACGTTCATGCATCTTTGCACGGGAGGCAAAAACAAAGTGGGTTTTCTCCGGGGAGCTATAGCTTTCCTCCTTACAGGAGAAACAGGATGTGGTCGGGATAGAGTGCTGGTGATCCAACACTAGGTTGGATGTCCTGTGACCTCTGTGGAGCTGGTCTCTGGGATTTCACCACGTATGTATGCTCCCTCCACCCCTCATACTTGCCAGCTTTGATCATGAGCACATCCTTTCCCAACCTCAGTTCCCAGAATGCCGCTGTCCATCCCTCTGCCAGGTGCATGCTCACCTCCCAAGTGGAGCTGGCTCTGTCAGCACCTGGCCTACCAAGGCTGTGGCCGTGCCTGAACAAGGCAGCTACACACAGGTCTGCTGGCAGGGCCCTAGTGAGGACAGGACGCCCCAGGGACTCACGATTGCTGGGGCACATGTTCTGGCACATGGCTTTGGACTGGAAATTGTTGTTGTTTCCTTTGCAGCCACCATAGATGAACCTGGAGCAGATATTCTTCTCCTTATCGTACCACCAACGATGAAAAAATGCCATGCAAGGGCCAGGTTCTTTGGGCATGGTGCATATATCTGTAGGGAGACCCCAGACTTGAGCAATACGAGTGTCCACCCCTCAAGAAAGCAGCTGATATTGTTACCCCTGCAAACCACCAGACATGGAATGGAGCAGGCTCTTTTCCCCTTATCACAGCCCAGCTCCACTGGAGTATGGTACACATTGCAGGGAGACCCCAGAGCAGAGCTGTTGGGGTGTCTGCAGGCCTGTAGAACATCTGTCTCCCCCATTCCTCATGGTCACCATCCCCACTGTCTTCCCTGAGAGTGAGGAGACTGATTTCAAGGCCCTGCTCCCAATTCAGTGTGTGCATATCGACCTCCCCTGTTACCTGTCTTGTCCTTTACTTCCTCTTCTGGAAAATGGGAATGCAACATCCCACCCTGCTAGTGGCACAGGGCTGTCCTAAGGTACAAGTGAGACTGCCCTCATGGACCTGAATGGGCAGCTTTTAGCACAGTGCCTGGCAGAGAACAGCTGCTCAATAAATACGTCCTGAATGGATAAAAGAGATGGAAGTGCCTTGAAAATGACAAAATATAAGCCACATACTCTGCCCTGCAAACCATGCCAGGAAGAGAGAATCTGGGATCACGAGTAAAAGGCAAGTAGGGCAGGGAAGGCAGGGGCTAGTTTTTTAGATGGCCAAGCACCTTTCATCCTGCAGTTAGCTTCAGTCCTGTGATGGGTTGAATTGTGTCTCTCCCTACCCACCCCACACCCATTCATATGTTTTTTGTTTTGTTTTGTTTTTTAATTATTTTTTTATTATGTTCAGTTAGCAACTGTATAGTACATCATTAGTTTTTGATGTAGTGTTCAATGATTCATTAGTTGCATATAACATGCAGTACTCATCACAACACGTGCCCTCCTTAATACCCATCACCTTGTTACCCCATCCCCTCTCCCCCACTCCCCTCTGAAACCCTCAGTTTGTTTCCCGGGAAGTCCTAACCCTCACTACTTCAGAATGTGATCCTATTTG